TGCAGAATCCTGCAAGATCCGGCGCTCTGGCTGACCCCTGTTTGCATTGACCCCCGTCTCTTGATCCCCGAATCCACGAAACAATCGTGGATCCAACAGGGAGATTCAATTTTGGGGTAAATCAGTTCTGTAGTCGATCCCCGACTTGCTTGGAAGAAATCTGGGCGGACCTCCGCAGAGACATGTCTGTGGGGAGACCGAGAGGTACCCATACCGCTACTCCCAGAACCTCTCCCGGGGTGCGTTCTGACCAGGAGTTCGAGGCGGATCCAGCGGCGGCGACGAGGGCCTCCCCGGAGGCCCAACAAGGAGAAACCGAACGAAGGGTAGATGTATGGGTACCTTTTCCGCTTCCGAGTTTGGGCAACCTGCTGTGCCATGCAGAAGAGGAGGGCGACGAGCTGGGGCTCGGACCGACGAAGGCTCAGCAGCCGCCGACCGCAGATGGCAGCCCGCGCCCGCCCTCCGCCCGCCCATCTTCGCACCTGCTTGCTCTGCGCCGCCCCTTGTCCGCGGCAGTTCGCTGTGCTGCTCCTCCTTCCCCTCGCTCTCCTCCTCCTCCTCCTCCTCCTCCTCCTCGTCCTCCATTCCTGCTCCTTATAACTATCTTCACGCTGTCGCACCCCGAGGCCAGTTACTAGGGCGGGCCGGACGTTTCCCTGAGACTTCCTCACCACTTGCGACCCTGAGGTTAAACAAATGGCAGCAGTTCCGCAAATGGAGGGCGGGCCGTTTTCGAAATGTGGCTCTCGCCTTCGCGCCGCACGCATTGGTTTTTAGCATTTGCAAAAGCTTCACGGATTGAGGGTGGATCGTTTCCAAAATGTGGCTCTCGCCTTAGCGCCGCGCACAATCGTTTTAAACATGTGCGAGATCTTCACGGATTGAGGGCTGGTGGTTTTCGACATATGGCTCTCGTCTTAGCACCGCGTACGTTCGCTTTTAACATGTTGAAGAGCTTCGCAATTTGAGGGCGGGGCCAATTTCACAATGTGGTTCTCGCAATGGCGCCGCGCACATTCGTCTTACACAATTGCAGAAGTTTTACGGAATGAGGGCGGGCCGTTTTCAACATGTGGCTCTCGTCTTAGCGTCGCGCACATTCGATTTAAACCTTTGCAAGGGTTTCACTGCCGTTTTCAATATGTGGCTCTCGCCTCAGCGCCGCGCATACTCGTTTTTAGCATTTGCAAGGGTCTCACGGATTCCCATGGTCAGCGTACCAACCGATGGTGTTTTTAGAATGACTCAGGATTATGAATGTGCAACAGTTGCGTTGATTTGCTGTGTTGAAGTCTCACGACTGGTGTTCTGGCACGGTTCAAGATCGCCAAGACGCAACAGTCAGGTTGATCAGTGGCGTTGGAATTCCTAGAACATTGTTTTGGTATGTTTCAGTGTCTTCAAATGGTTGTCTTCCAGCGGGGCAGTTCCCTCAATGGCAATGAACCGTTGTGGGGGCGTATGAAGAGGGAGCTTGGAGGGAGGGTTGAATCCAACCTCGTTGACGTCTCTTGGGTTTCCACTGGTCCTCCTCCTCCTCCTCCTCGTCGTCCTCCTCCTCCGAGGCCCAGCCCGTGGCGTGCTCGCCCGGCGGCATTTGGCCGCCATGTGCGTCAGGCCAGCCACGAATCACCGATTTGGACGCCCAAAATGGGTACGGAAAAAATGGGTACAATGCCCAACAACAAATGTTGTCCCAAACCAACAGCGGCCGCTGTTGGGCGGGCGGTTTTCTGTCTCAAATGGACACAGGCCGCGGCGGCGCGCACAGAGAGTCCGGTTCAAAATGAACACGAACTGCTGTTGGGCATTGTACCCATTCTTTCCGTACCCATCTCGTTCGTGCAGAACCGAGGAAGCCCGGCCAGAGCGAGCCGGGGCCCCGGCGGGGGCGAGCGCGGGCGCCGAGGCAGCCTGCGCCGAGGCCGAGGCCGAGCTCTCGCGCCGCGCACCGCAGCGACCTCAGGAGAGACGCGGGGAGCCGCGCGAGCCTATCATTGAGCATGGACTGACCGCCGGGGCATTCTCATACAGGGCAGATTTTAATACATAAGGTTTTTAATATATAGGATCTTTAATACATGATTAATGTATGAGTAAATGGATGCATCAACTCGTCCTTGCATTTATGAATCAGCCCTTTATTTTTGATGCATGGTCCGCACGCGGAGCATGCACTAAACACGGCCCTGTACGGTCGGGAATGTTTGGACAGCGAATCGCGGCGGCGGCCCCAGCGGCACGCCATGCCCTGCAAGCGGATCGCGCGTTGCTCGGCTCCGCCGGGCGGCAGGCCAGGGAGAGGCGCGGGGCGTGGAAGCCTGGGCGCTGGGCAGTGGATCGCGCGTCGCGCCGAAGCGTGGTGGGCTAGATCCAGGAGGAGGAGGAGGAGGAGGTGGAGGAGGGAGAAGGAGGAGGCGGAGGAGGAGGAGGAGGAGGAGGGAGGACCCCGAGCTCCTGGAGCTCGAGCTCCTGGAGGCCGCCGCGGGGCCGCGCTCCGCCGCGGCGCCGTGGGCCCCCCCCGGCGAGGAGCGACAGGCTATTCAAAAGCTCCCGACCGTACCACGCGTTTGTCCTACAACAAAACGCTGCTTCAAGAACAGAGGCAACCTTCTCATAGCAGGAAGAACCAATGGATTCACACAGTGCGTTCTCAGCCAGAACTGCTAGGAGACCATCTCTTGAACGCCTTCAACCAGCTGTTGCATCGCATTATTTGGTGGGCCTATCGGCAGGTCAGAGCGCTTCTAGGAGCCTCCCAACTGGGATCGGAGTAGATCGGGTCGCTGATGCATCGGCGATGCATCTTCGATGTCGGCGATTCATCGCCGACGTCAGCGTAAAGAAACTTGGGCTCCACATTGAGCCGCATCGCCGATACATCACCAATGCGGCGCGATCCTCTGAGACTATCTGCTGGAACCCCGTTTGGGAGGCCTGGAGCTGTGAGGGTAGAGTCATTCTGCTTCGCCTGCCTGTGGACTTGATGCCAGTGGGGACGGGGCGGAATGGACCGCCAGCGGTGCCGGCGGAGACAACCTCCGCGGGCGTCCCGAAATTTACGTTTAGTACTGCCCTCCGTCTCCCTGCCAGGGTGGGGCTTGGAGGGCGGGGAAGAGACCGCCTCAGTCTCTCTGGCATGGGAGGGAAGCGTCCTGAGGGAAATGGGTCCTGGACCATGGGGGTCCTGGGGCCAGCTCTTCATCCTGCATCCAAGCGGTCCTCCGGGCGTAGCTGCTGTAGCGAATGATCTATTCAACCTCCATGTTCCCCATGGGAGAGAGGCTTACCTTTTCCCCTGCCCTCTCTCCTTCTGTATAGGGGGCGTTTCGCGGGGCGTTGTCCAAGAAGGCCCAAGATGGCCTCAATCTGGCCCCAGATAGCCCAAGGTGACCTTCAAGATCGTACACTATAGCCCAACATATTATGATATAGCTTCCAGCATGCTTCCAAGAGGCTCCCAGACCGACCGCCCAAAGATGGCTCCAAGGTGCCACGGCAACTCCCAAGAGCGCCGCTGAGAGGCCCAACTCCTTCCCAACCCGAAGGCAAACTATTGATTTGTGCATTCTCGGCTTATTTGCTTCCCATGGGCTCTTGAGGCCTCGAGATGGCTCCAATTTTGCCCAAGACAACCCCACGAGGGGCCCAATACGGCTCCAAGGGCGCCCAAGAGGTCCCCAGGAGGCCATGTTTCGGCCTCCAAGGAGTGGGGCGTAATCAAGAACACCCTTCTTGATCAATGGTCCCCAAGGTCGCCCCAAGAGCACCCCCCAAGGCTCCCAATATGGCCCAACGATGGCCCCAAGATGCCTCCAAGAGGCGTCAAGAGCGTGACTGCAAGCTGCTACACGTCCCTGATCAGGGCAACTCGCCTGGTGTTTGTTTTTGGATGGGCTGGCGTGGATGCGCGAAGCGCCAAGGCTAGTTGACTGCGGTCCATGGATCTCCTCCTCCTCCTCCTCCTCCTACGACGAACGACCAATGCGGCACAATCGGTCTGTCGACCACGGGAAGGCCCCTGCTCAATACTCCATGATTGTGAAACTCCCTCTTTGTGGGCGTAGCGATACGTTGCAACTGTGGGGGCAAGATCGCCCAACATGCTGCTCCATCGACGGCTGCCTGCGACTACCGTCTTCCACCTCCTCCACGTTCTCCTCCTCCCTGCTCCTCCTCTTATTCCTCTCCCCTGCGCGCTGCTCCGTGCACCTCCTCCGCCTGCTCCCCACTCCAAGCGCTTTCTTCACCGCCGCCGCCCGCCCCCACGTCCCCTGCGTGGCGGACAGCGTGTGCCCCAGGGACTGGTGGCGCAGATTGCCCAGCTGCGACAGCGTCTGCGTGAGGCTCAGCCCGAGCGTGGACTGCGGCAACACCTGGCGGGCGCGAGCGGCGGCGCACCACACAAGCCTCGTGTTACCGTCGGTACTGTCGTCGTCGTCCAAGGGCGGGGGACGGGGAGGTGGGGAAGGAAAGAGAGGCGCGGGCGGGAGGGAGGGGAAGCCGGGCCCGCTCACAGACCCACGGACCCCCTCAAATAGACACAAATGCCAGGAATCCCCCAGATCTTTCCTGGGCATTCGTCTTCCCTCCCCCCCGCTTCTCATACTTTCCAAGACTTTCCCGGGCATCGACGATTCATGGTGTCTGCGTGTTTTTGTCCCCTTTTTGTCCCTGTCCGCGGCGTACCTTTTCTTGTGCAAGCTCTTCGGCACCGCCTGCACCCCGGGCTCCGCCCGCTCCGGTCGCCTGAGGCCCCGCCCTCCTGTGCCCTGTCTCCCTAATTAAAGCTGTGCGTAAACTTTTAGCGGGAGAGGTTCGCTCTCGCCCCGCCGACCAAAAAAACATGTTTCTGTCCCCTCCCGAAGCCGGGCCGAAGAAGGCAGGCCGGGCTGCCCCGCCCCTCCCCCCCGCAGTGCCGCCCACAAGATAACGGCTGTGCGGCGGGGCAGGCCGTGCGACGGACCGGCCTGGGCCTGCCAGCTGCACACTCTTGCAGCTCATCATCAGCGGGAACAAAAGGAGAGGAGAAGGAAACACGAGCCGAAGACCTGGAATGCCCAACCAGCTACTTGAGGAGGAGGAGCAGGAGGAGGAGGAAGAGGAGGAGGAGGAGGAGGAGGGGAGGAGGAGGAAGGAGGAGGAGGAGGAGGAAACAAGACTCTGGGCTTCTTGATGAGCGTGGGGGGGTACCCCCCGACGGGGTCGGCCTCGCCTCGTCGTCGCGCCGCGACGGGGGGCGGAGCGCCATCGGCGCGCGGTGGCTGCCCGCGACGGGGGGTTCGATGTGGGGCTGTCGGCGGGGGTGACGCCCCACCGACGCTCATTAGTAAACTCGGAGTAGGGGAGCGAAGAACGACATAAACATAAAAACTCGGAGGTCCGCGCGGATTTCTCGGATCCGCTGGACCCTCCTGGCGGCGCCTCCGACGCCGCCCCTGGCGCACTGCGCGCGCCAGGGAGTGGGGTCCAGCGCCGGGCTGTCCAGCGGCAGCTTGGGATTGCCAAGAGACGCTTCTTCGGGCGGAGCAGAAGACATTGAAGTTGCCAGGGCTGAGGCAGGAGGAGGAGGAGGAGGAGGAGGAGGAGGAGAAGACGAAGAAGAAGAAGGAAGGCGGCATGGGGGGGGAAGGTGGAGGGCGAGGTGGCGCGGGCGGAGGATGAATAGACTCACTGCTTCCATACGCACGCGTCAACCAAAGTTGGTCGCCACTATATGTGGATCGCACTTCGTCGTGGGTGCTCATATGTGCAGGTGTTTTCACGCTGGCCTCACCGCATTGCGTGGCCGTGGTGTCGAAGCACGTCATGCACGAGCAACGGATAATGATGCCAAGTTGCTCCCCGCATCGTGACTCCGCTGTGGAAAACAGGTCCACCGACGATCGCGGTCAACCACGCATCCTCCTCCTCTTCGGGTTGACCAACAAGGGTGTCCAGCTGAAAGCGGGTGGTGCAATAGGGCGATTGTATTGGAACTCTATTACGATAGAGAAGTATATTGGATTCGACTGCATAGAATGTATTGCATGCGAGAATCCTACAATACATTTGCGCATCGGAATGTATTGCACGCCCCAAGTATTGCAGTTCCGCATCCGCAAATCGATTGCACCACATCTATTGCAGCACCCCGTTGTAGCTGGACCCCCGCTCGCGTGCACCAGAAGTCTCTCCCCCCTCCCCCCTCCCTCCTCCCTACCACCCTCCCCCCCTCCCCCCTCTCTTCCCCCCCTCTCCCCTTCCCCCTCCCCCCTACCCCCTCCCCCCCTCCCCTTCCTCCCTGCCTCACCCCTCCCCTGCCCCCCCTCTCGGGCCTGAGGTGGGAGCTGCAGCGACTCGTTCATGCGCCTCGCGATCGCCTGGCGCCCGGCGCCGCGCGACCGGGGGGGGGGGGGAGTGGAGGGCAATGCGGCCACGGGCGTCCCTCCTGCCGGCCTTCGGCCACGCTCGGGGGCTCTCGCGGAGGTCCTCGGCGAGCGCGGGCGTTGTTTTTTTTTTGGGGAGCTATATATATATCTCTCTATATATATATATATATATATGTGTATATGTTTTTTTTTTTTCTGTTCTGTCTTTCTTGTAGTATTACTATAACTGTTATTATTATTATTATTATTATTATTATTATTATTATTAATAGTATTATCATCATTATCAGTATTACTATTATTATTACTATTATTATTCTATTTTCTGAAAATGTACGTAAATGTGTTTTGTTATGCTTTTTATGTTTTTTTGTTTGTTCCTTTCCTCTCCTGGGAGGAGGATGGCTCGTCGAGACCGGGGCGGCTCCTCTCCGGCGTGCCTCTGCGCCTCTGGGCTCTGCTGGCGGCTCCTGGTCGCCACGGCCAGCATGCGCCCAAGCGGGCGAGGCCTGGGCGGGGATCTCTGTCCGGGCGGGGCAGCCGCCGTCCCAGACGTGCGACGCCCGGATGTTTTCAGGACGGGGTCCCTGGGAGCCCCGACCCGTTCCCCGGGACCGGTTTTTCGTCCTGAGTCGTTTTTTGACAAGATGAGGAGGAGGACGAGGAGGAGGACGACGACGATCAGGATGGGGCGGAGGACGGGGAGGAATGCGAGTAGTACGAGGACGAAGTGTGGACATTCGTATGCGTGCGGGGCTACGCCCGATTTATGCTGGCCGTTTGGGCTGGCGGTGGGGCCCAAGCGGCGAGCTGTCTTGTGATGGAATCTGTTTTTTCTTCGATTGGCAGCATGGAGAGCTCCGGGGGGGCCCTGGGCGAAGAGGTTCAGAAGGCAAGAGGTCTTCGGAGTGGTGGATGACACCAGCGACGGCAGCGGCCGTGGCAGCGGCGGCTGCCTGGCGGCGCAGAACAGCGGGTGTTGCCGAAGGTTTGGATGCTCATTATGGGGACCTCCCTGGAGACGGTCGCTCCACTCGTGCGTCGAAGTTGCGTCGAACCTTCGTCGATTTGAGCCAACCTTGAGTCGAGCCTGAGTCGAACCTGAGTCGAGCTTGAGTCGAACTTGAGTCGAACTTGAACCGAACTGGGGTCGAACTAGAGTCGAACAGATCCGCTAGGTGGGCCCCAGGAAGGTCCCCCAAAGGAGCTTCTAATGAGGTTAATGCCTCAGGTCTGAGTGTTCCCAGGATCCCCGGGGAGGCCCGGATGGCCTTCAGGAGTATCCCTCACGAGGCCCAGGAGGATCCCGGGGGCCCAGGGTGAGGAAGGAGGCAGGGAGCGGAGGAGGAGGAGGAGGAGGAGGAGGAGGAGGAGGAGGAGGAGGAGGAGGAGGAGGAGGAGGAGGAGGAGGAGGAGGAGAAGAAGGACGAGACCACTTCCAGCAACGACCGCCGAAGGGAGGAGGGGAGCGAATGACTGAATGATGGGAGTGGCGAGCGGCACCCAGGCAGAAGCCGACGTCACAACTCGTCCAGGACGTCTGCCACCAGAACTCTCGCCCGCACTTGCTGGGACCAAGCCTCAACGCCGGGCTGGACTTGGTGGTCTGGGGGTCGGGCACTGGCGCCTCCCCTCCTCCTCCTTCCCTCCTCCTCCCTCCTCCCCCTCTCCTCCTCCTCTCCTCCTCCATCCTCCTCCTCCTCCTCCTCCTCCTCCTCCGCCTACCTCTTTCCCCTGGCTCGTCCAGGGTGGCGGCTAGGTCCTGGCGCCGCTCCCGGTCCAGGGGCCAGGTCCCGTCTCCCCCCGGCTCCTGGCCTTCTCCCTGGCCCGTCCCCACCCCGTCTTGTGGGACGCGAGCTGCCTCGCCCTCCTCCTCCTCCTCCTCCGCCTCCTCCTCCTCCTCCTCCTCCTCCTCCTCCTCCTCCTCCTCCTCCTCCTCCTCCTCCTCCTTCGTCCTCCTCCTCCTCCTTTCTCCTCCTCGTCCTCCTCCTCCTCCGCCTCCTCCTGCTCTTCATCCCTCCTCCTCCTCCTCCTCCTCCTCTTCCTCCTCTTCGTCTCCTCCTCCTCCGCCTCCTCCTCCTCCTGTTCCTCCTTCTACTCCTCCTCCCCCTCCCTGGCCCGTCCCCGCCCCGTCGGTCAGTGGGATAGAAGCTTCCTTGCCCGCCGATGGGCGTCGCCAAGGCTTCGCAGGTGCGGATAAGAATGACGGGGGGGCCGCCAGGGCCGCCCTGCGCCGGAGCTGCGGGGCTGGAGCGCCACTGCTAGCATGCCTCGCACGGGCGTAGATTTCTGTCCGCCTTCGCAAGGCAGCACCCGACCACCACCACCACCACCACCACCACCACCACCACCACCACCACCACCACCCCCCAAACAACAACAACAACAACAACAGCAACAACAACAACAACAACAACAACAATCATTTTACCCGAACGCTCAGTGTTCTCCCCAGTGCCAGGGTTTTCTTGCGACACCAGCCAATACCCCCACTTCGTGGGGGGGCCGTTCAAGCTCTACCAAATATCCAAACGACTCTTCGAGACCACCCACACCCAGCTTCCCGCCCTATGACGTTGGGACACTTCACTTCGTGGCGTGCGGACGACCCTGGCTACTACACTGGCGTGGGGTACACACCCACAGAGGTTGATCACATCTGTTACATATGATGTGGTACACGGTACACGTGAGATGGTACGCAGTGCCAAGATAGTTGGTCACATTTTTGGGGCAAATTCGTGGGGATGCGATTACAGAAGTACATGTGTTACACTGATGTTATACAGTCCCAAGGATGACGCATGCATTGCTCATAGACTCATGGCGCTATGATCCTAACTCTCAGTGCCCAACGCGCGCGTGCACAGCCAGACGGAGGGAGAGAAACACATGTATACAAGGTTCGTGACATACGCACGGTCCACCATGTTGTAAACGATCGCATGCACGGTAAGTTCTGAAATTATACGTATGTACAAGCAGACATGCGAGGGAGAAAGGGACATGGCCGCGGCGCCGCGCGCATGTACTTCGTCTCATTTTTTGCAAGGGATGGTGGCCCTCGCAGGCGCGCAACCGTTGTTGGAGAAGTTCAAAGCACCTGAAGAAGTAGCACGCAAAGACCCTTTTGACAGAAATGTTTAAAAAGTGGTGTGTTTCCTATGAATCCGCAAGAGCGCGCGGAAGGACATTTTGACAATTTTTTCTTAAAAAACCATTGGGTTTTTGATGTTTTTATGTTAAAATCGCTACGAAACCTAAGGTTTTGGAAGGATTTCGTCTTGCGAGCGCGAATGTCCACTTTACCTTATTTTTTGCAAGGGATTCTTGAAATTTGATCAACTAAGAACAAGAATTTTCATTTTCTATTGTTTTTTGCAAGGGAAAACGAGCGTCAACAAAAAACCGGATCCGGGGGTAATCCACTTTTCTGAAGCTTTCGCAGAAAAATGATGAAAATGTAGCTGCGGCCTAGGTTTTGGGCGGGGGGCGTGCACCAGGGGGTCCAACAATAATAATTCTTTAGAAGTAATAGTGTTCAACAACAACAACAACAACAACAACAACAACAGCAACAACAACGCCAACAGCAACAACAACAACAGCAGCAGCACCAACAACACCAACACCACCAATAACAACGAACACAACAACCGCAACAACGTCATCACCAACAACAACAGCAACAACAACACCGACACCAATACCGGCACCAATACCGACAACAACACCAGCAACATCGCCAACGCCACCACCAACAACAATAACAACACTAACAAGAACACTACCACGAGCCAATACAATAACAAGCACACTAACACTATAACAACAACGACGACACCACCACCACCACTACCCTCAAACACGACAACAACACCAATAACACCAACACGAACAACAACACTGACAATCACACCATAAACAAACAACAATAGCAACGGCAGCAACAACAATAACAACAAAAGCATCGACAATAACAACCCACTGCAGGCGCCGGCTCCTTGCAGAGCAACGCAGTGCAGGCGGGCTGCGGGGCGGGGGTCGTCAGCGGGCCCCGATGGACCGACAGACCCTGCGGAGCAGACCGCCGCAGGCGACGGGGCTGTGCCAACCAGCGCTGAGCGGACCGGGGCCGGGCCGCGAGTGCAGGTTTGGGTGGCCCCAAAGGGGGTCAGGCTGAAAGTGGGTGGTGCAATAGATCTGGCGCAGTTGGATTCCAAATGTATTGCGGCGGAGACTTGTATTGCACTGTGTTGCAAGTAATCCATCGCACGCGGAAGTCCAGCAATACATTTGCGCCAACCCACCAATCTATTGCACGAAATCGATTGCACCACCCCCTTGTTGCTGGACCCTCTTTTGGGTCAACCCGAGCGGGTTTCCACAGGTTTCCTAGATGGGGTCGGAGTAGATGGGGTCGGAGAATCGCGGCGCATCGCCGAGACATCGGCGATGCATCGGCGATGCACCGGCGACGTCGGCGATGCATCGGCGACGTCGACGTGAAGCAGATCGGGCTGCACATCGAGCCGCATCGTCGATGCATCGGCGACGTGGCGCGATCTTCCGACCCCATCTACTCCGACCCCATCTAGGAGGCCTAGAGTTTCGGCCACGCGCAGAGAAGGCAGGGGGAGAGGAGGCTTCTTGGAAGCACCCCTGCTTCCCAGAAAGCGCGGGCCTTCTCTATGGACGTGAAGCCGGGGCCTTCTAAGAAGCAGGGGTGCTTCAAAGAAGCCTTCCCCCCTCCCCCATACCCCCCTTTTCGTGCCGCCAAGGGTTGCAGGTGTGCGTCGAGGGTCGGTCGTTGGTTCGGGGGGTGCCAAAGGTGGCGCTGGCCCAAGGTGCCCCCAGCTTTTCGCTCAATGTTGGAGCCCTTAGGGCCCTCTGGGCCTGGCGATGGGTGCCCTGGAGGCCGTGGGGGGCCTCGGGAAGCCTGGGAGCACCTTGGGCCAGCGGTACTTCTAGCAGTACCCGACTGGTGGGTCAAGAATGAGTCGCGTGTGAGTCCTGGGATGGATCGCAGAGTGGGCCGTAGGGTGGATCGCGGGGCGGGGCGTGGGCGTGGGCTGTCGCAGGGCGCGCGAGGACAAGAGCAGGAACAATCATAACTGCGATCCGCAAGAAAGGTACCCAAAGAGGTCTCCTAAACGCTGCGCAAAACCCCCGGAAACCTCAAAAGGGCCTTCCGTGATGCCCCCACAAGTATTCACGAGGCCTCCTTGTCCACGACCCGGGCGAGATGGCGGGTTGGGCCGAAGGCCACTAGACCTGGGCCGGCACGGGAACGGAAGAAGCGCACTCAGCAAGTTGCTCGAACATGCTCATGGCATCGTTCGCCTCTCGATTCTTGGTATGAAGAGTATTTTGCTTCGATACTCACTCTTCGGAGCCTTGTTACTCCTGCTCCTCCTGCTCCTGTTTCTGCTCCTCCTTGCTCACCAACCAATCGAAAATCAGCGCTCCTCCTCCTCCTCCTCCTCCTCCTTCTTCTGCTCTTTCTTGCTCATCCTCTTCCTCCTCCTCCTCCTCCTCCTCTGCTCCTCCTCTGCTTGCTCCTCCTCCTCCGCCTCATCCTCCTCCTCTCCTCCTCCTCTTCCTCCGCCTCCATCCTCGTCCTCTTCATCCTCCTGTTCCCTCCTCCTCCTGCTGCTCCTCCTGCTGCTCCTCCTGCTGTTCCTCCTCCTCCTCCTCCTCCTCCTCCTCCTCCTCCTCCTCCTCCCTGTTCGTGGTGTTCCTCCTCCTGAGAGCTTTGCTACGCAACCATGGTCTTGTGAGCTTATGACGTCACTGTGAGCTCTTGGAAGCCTCTGTTACGTGGCGTATCCGAGCCTTCTTGGGGGTCGTTTTGGGGTCATGTGGGGCCGTCTTGGGGCCCGCTTGGGCCGACGTGGGGCACTTTCGGGGCGTCTTGGAAGGCTTTGGCCGTCTTGGGGCTCTCTTGGGGGTCTCTTCGGGCCCTCTTGAGAGCCTCTTGAGGCCCCCTTGGGGCTCTCTTGGGAGCCTCTAGACCCCCTTGGGCCGTCTTGGGTCACTCTTGGGAGCCTCTTTGGGCCCTCTTGGGAGCCTATTTGGGCCCTCTTGGGCCGTCTTTGGGGCCTTCACGGAAGCCTTGAGGGCGATCTCTTGGGCCCCTTGGGCCGTCGTGGGCATCGAGCCGCCCAGCGGGCCATCCCACTCGATAAACATCGAGGGCCGGAGGGCGATTAGACCTTTCGACCGGCCGTCCCCCCCCCTGGACCCCCCCCGTTGGGCTGACGCCCTGCCAAGAACGGAACCGCGTGAACGCTCTTTCCGTCATCCGCCGTCCCCGTAGCTGAGAAGGGAGTATTAGCCAGTAAGCTAGGGCAACCAAGCCTGTTATCATTTCCAGTAAGGTTCCCTCTGGCTCTCAGCCCGACCCACCAGCCACCAAGAGAAGGCCCGAAATATCTCTGTATGCCCAGAAGATCCCTGTCCAAGACGGCCCTATCTGATGGCCCAAGATGGCCCAAGTTGCCCCAAGACGGCCGCAAAAGAACCCAGAATGCTCCCAATGCAGCCCGCGATAGTTCCGAGATGTCTTCCAGGATGGCCCCAAGATGCCAACACCGTTGATTCCCTGTTGGCCTCCCAATGATTTCGTGTCTCGGCTTCTCGCGCTTCCGACGGCCCAAGACGGCCCGAGAGGCTTCCGAGATGGCTCGAAGACGGCCCGAGAAGCTCGCAAGAGGGCCAAGTGGGTTCCACCATTCAGCTCCGAGACGGCCCTACTTGCCCTCAGAGCACCCCCTGGCCATCGCTCGGACGTCCATTTCCTGTGTTTGTTTGAGGTTTCGTGCGTGGTTTTTTCGCCACATGATGAAGGATGCTCCTCGATGGTCCTCGCCGAGGGAAAAATGCACACGTCCGAGCGATGCCAAGTCCGACGGCCCCAGAGGAGCCCCGAGACAGCCCAAGAGGGCCATACAACAGCCCACAAGATAGTCCCAAGACGGCCCCTCCCCAGTGGGTTTCCCCAACGGCACGCGGTTGACAGGCGTGCCCGCACTTCTCTTCGATTCTCCACGGCACAGGCGCTTCAAATGCAGGGGGCGGCGGTGACTCGCCGTAGGCGTCTTCTATAACGGATGGAGGAGGATGAGGGGACCGAGGAGGTTTCTCGATCGATCTCGTCTCTCTCTCTCTCACATGGCCTGGCTGGCGTGTACTCTGCGCCCCCTTCGGGTCCCGCTGTCTTTTCTCTTCGCCTCGTGCGCCCATCTGGATTTCTGCTACGCCTGCCAGGCGTAACCTGTTAGTCTACAGGCCTAAGTCGGCACTCCTTTTCTTTCACACGGACGTTACAGCCAATACGCTCGAGTTCGCCCAATGTAAAAAGAGAGAGAGAGAGAGAGAGGAGGAGAAGGAGGTGGAGGAGGAGGGGAAGGAGCAGGACGAGGAGGAGGAGGAGGAGGAGGAGGCGGAGGAGGGGTCGAGGATGAGGGGTCGAGGATGAGGGGTCGAGGATGAGGATGAGGATGAGGAGGAGGAGGAAGAGGAGGAGGAGGAAGAGGAGGAGGAGGAGGAGGAGGAGAAGGACGTGGAAGCGCCTCGTTCGCGCTCCAGAGCAGCTGCAGCAGCATGAGGCCCTCCCAGATCTCGCGAGACAACCTCTGCGCCTGCCGCGCGCCGCGGAAGGACCAATGGTGAGGAGAAGGATCAGTTCCATCTTCTCCTGCCCTGCTCATCCTTCCGCCCTCCTCCTCTAAGACGAAGCCAGGACGAGGATACCATCGGGTGAGGATAGATCGTGAATCTCTGAGAACCGGCGGCTCTGGAGGCTGTATCGGGCGCCGCGGCCTTCCCAGAGCGTGTGGGAAACGCTCTGAGAACGTTCTGGAACGGATTGATCCTCGTCCTTGCCCCGTCCGATCCTCTCCTGTTTGCTCACTCTGCTACTGCTCCTCCCCATTTTCCTCCACGGCCCCATCTCCATCTTATCGCTCGCCACCGTCATCGTGAGTTGTAGATCGATTTATCCATATATATATATATATATATATATATAGGTCCTTGGTCCTTGAGGTTTGGCATGCAGGCGGAAGGGCAGGAAGGTCAAGCCGACAACTCCTTGTTGCCTTCTCTGGCAGCCCTGTTCTAATCATATTATTTGTCATCCTTCCTCCATGTTTCTTTTTCCTCATTCTCGCCCTACCCTGCGTATTCTCATCCTCCTCAGCTCTTTTTGCAGAGGCTCCTCCTTGGAGAGCCTCTGGGGCCTCACGGAAATGTTTCAAGCTCTCTTAAGGCCTTCTGGAGACCTCCTAGGCGTCTTCTAGATGCTTCTGGGGGCTTCCTCAGGCCACCCTGCCTCCAACCGCGGTCTCCCTGAACGGCCGGGACACGATTTGGAATGCTTCGGAGGGTGTCTTGGGTTTATCTTGGGCCGTCATGGGGTTATCCTAGGCCGTCTTGGAACCCTGTTGTGCCGTCTTCGAGCTCTCTTGGACTGCCTGGAAGCCCATTCGGATGGTTGTGGGGCGACCCTCGTGCCTCCCTGGCTGCTTCTGACGCCCAGAAGACCGCCGTCTTGGAGAGTCGGGAAGCCGAAAAGAGGAGAACCCCGAAATCCACCAAAAATCAATAGGAAAACAATGAATTTGCCTCTTGGGGCCTTCTTGGGAGTTCTCTTGAAGGCCTCTTGGGACGTTTTGGAGCGATCTTTGGGGGTATGACGGCTTCTTTGGGGTCGTCGTGGACCGTCTTGGGGCTCTCTGGGGTCGTTTCGGGAGCGCGCTGGAACGCCTACAACCCTCTGGGGCCGTCTTCTGGCTCTCGTGGGGGTTTCCCAGGTCGTCTGGAGGATTGCCCGAGAGGCCCGGGGTGGGCCAAATTCGTTCGGGGGAGGGGGTGTGCGCCTTTTCTAGGGTCCCTGGCCCTACAAAGTATAGGAATACAGGGCTGCATTGACGCTTCGCGCCATGCGCCTTGTTCCTTAAAGCTTTGGAGCGGTTCGCCTGTCGCCCCTGCCCCTTTTTCCCTTTGAGGCGTGCTCGCTGGCTCGTATCACGGAGAAGCGGGGGGAGGGGAAGAGGGGGGCAGTTAATTTGGGACGGAAAGACTGTGAGTCGGAGACCACGGGCGTACGGGATGGCGTAAATGGAATCTGCTGGAGTCCTGGGTGCGCAACCGAAGTTCCAGAGAAATGGTTGCGAACCTGTGTGGGCAAACTGCGGTTTTCCGTAACGAAATACCATCTGAGCGGCTGAGCGAGCGAGAACTCAGGGATCTACATGGGGGCCTGCCGAAGCGGTGTCAGGGCCTTGTGGCCCATCTCGGAGCCACCTCGGACTGTCCTCGGGGCGTCTTGGGACTGCCGCTCGCCCGTTTAAACGCTTGGGTGAACGTTGAGAAGGCGCCCTGGGGAGCTGAAATCCCTGGGTGGCCCTGTTGAGGAGCGTCCAGACGGTGTCCCCAGGCTGTCATGGAGTCGCCTGTGGGCAGTTTGGGAGTCGTCTAGGGCCCTCATGGCGCCTTCCTAAGGATATATATATATATATATATATAAAAACATATAAATTTACATATATGTACACATATGATTATCACACACACACAAACACAAACTTGAAGCACGCGCGCGCTTCGCGCGCGCGCTGAGGTTCCCCCCCTTTTTTCCCCCTGGCGCTCCACTCCGTCTGCTCTCAACTCCCCTCAAAACACCCCTCTCCTCCCTTTTACTCCTCATCACCCCTCTCCTGACATCTGTTCACCCTCCCCTTCCCCGTTTCCCCTTCCCTAAACTGCATCCCCTACCGAAGTCTTCTTCTTATTCTTCCACTGGCCGACCGATACCCCCTACCGAAATACGCCACATCCCCCGACAATGTTTTTCAAGCAAAGCGTCAAACGACCGCTTGTGGCTGGCAACATGCTTCCGTACGATCAGCCACGTGAGACGACGTCGCACTGTTCGCGAAAGAACTTGCCGATGCAAACAAACTTACGAACGGAATCGCGGTGTGCAGGCAGATGTGAAGTGACACGCTGGAGACGCCTACACATAAGCACAAGCGGCCGCTCCAAAGTTTTGGCTGGAGAACCTTGCGTCGAGAAGGGAGAGGAGGAAGGGTCGGAAGATGACGTGGAGCTGATGCATGGGACATGGGGCATGGGACGCTGACCAGCTCTAGGATTCTGCGTTTGACTGCACTATCGGACCAGTTGGAAACCCGGGACTCAGGAGGGGGAACATGTTGAAGGAGAAATGGGGCGCGCTATAGGTTCTATAGTCACCTCCGAGGAGCCTTTCAAACAAGCGAAAGGTTACTCTGGCCTCTTGGGGCGTCTCAGGCTCCTCCGAGGTGCTCTTGAAGCCGTCCCTTGGGCCGTCTTGGCGCCTCCGTCTTGGGCCATATTGGGCCCCTCTGGGCCGTCTTGGGCGACTCTTGGCGTCGTCTCGTGGCAATATTGAGCCCATCCTGGGCAGTCTTGGGCCGGCATGAGCATCTATGGGGACCATATTGGGGCATCTTGGGGCCTTCGTGGGACTTCTTTGGCTGTCGTTGGAACGCTATTGGCGCTCCTTTTTTGGGCCGTCTTGGGATAATCTGGGGTGCCTCCTGGGTTATCTCGGACGCTCTCTAGACAAAGAAGACGAGCACGCTAATATAAATGCAAAACCACTGGGAAATCATGTGCTTACACCTCTCGGAGACCTCTTGGAGCTACTCTTGGAGCGATCTTGGCGCGTCCTGCGCCGTCGTGTAGAAGCGCTTTCGGAGCCATACTGGGCCGTCTACGGCACGTAGACACCCCCAAGAGGCACCCGGGACTGTCAAGAGACCCCCAAGACACCCCATTCAAGATGCTCTCGAAACAAATTCGAAGAGACTCCGAGAGGCATCCGAGGGGCTTCTGGTTTTTCTGCTCGCCCTCCTCCTCCTCTTGCTCCTCATCCTTCCTCATCTGCCTCCTCTTCTTCCTCATCCGCCTGTTCCTCCTCCTTCCTCCTCCCTCCTCCCCCTCCCCCTTTCCCTCCTCCGCCTCCTCCTCCCCCTCCTGCTCCTCCGATTCCTTCTCCATCCTCCCCCTCTTGGGATACCGCGTCCCATCCGGCCCTTTAGTCCACTGCATGCTCTTCCACATCCCTGATCAGGGGAACTCGTCTGGGAATCGTTTCTGGACGGGCTGGTGGGGCTACGGGCACCGCCCGCCGCCCCCGCCGCCGCCGCCTGGCGCCCGTCCCGCCCGCCTCTCCAATAGCACACCAGGCACTCCAAAGCCTCCGTCTCCAACACCACACCCAATACTCCACCACCTCCGTCTTCAACGCGCACCCCTGGTACTCCACAGCTGGCGTCGCCAACACGACACCCTAAACATCCGACTCCAACCCAGCTCTCCACAGCCTCCGTCTCCAAGGCGGCTGACCTAGGAGTTGTACTGCTAAACCCGAGCCCGCCCCTCGCTCGCCGCCCGCCCGCCTCTCCAACACCGCACCCGGTGCTCCACAGACTCCTTTTCCAACACAGCACCCAATAACTACTCCACAGCCTCCGTCCTCCACGCACGCCCAAGTACTACACAGCCTTCGTCTCCAAGACGGCTCGTTCAGAAATTGAATCAAAACAGCCCGAACCCGCCCGACTCGCCCGCCTCTACAATGCCACACAAAAAATACTCCGCAACCTCCACAGCTCACGCAACACCCAATCCTCCGCATCCTCCGCCTCCAACGCACCGGGATACTCCATGCCACAACACCCACTATTCCACATCCTCCGTCTCCAACACACACACACACACCCGGGCACTCCCCAACCTCCGTCTCTAAGGCGGCTTCCGTGGGGGCTGACTGAAAAACCCGATCCCGACCGATGCCCTCTCCGCCGCCCGCCGCCCACAGCCCGCCCTGCCCGCTTGTCCAATACCGTACCTAGTAGTCCACAGCCTCCGTCTCCAACGCCACATTCAGTACTCCACAGCCTCCGTCTCCAAGATGGCTTCTTGTCGAAATGAGCAAAAACACCCGAGCCCGCCCGACCCGCCGCCTACCGTCGCCGCCCGCCGCCCGACCAGCTCGCCTCACCACACCCAGCACTACACAGACTCCGTCATAGACAGAACACCTAGTACTCCACAGCCGACGTCCCCAACACGCACAATCAGATACTCACAGCATCCGTCTCCAACCCAATCCCAAATACTCGATATTTTCCGCCTCCGATTTACACACGCACACATCAATAAATCACAACCGCCGTCTCCACGCCGGCCACCAGCGCCACCCGCTTGTCCAACACCGCACATGCTACTCCACAGCCGCCGCCTCCAAAACAACACCCCACTTCTCCACAGCCTCCGTCTCCAAAACCACACCGCACTCCATGTCCCCCGGCTCGGACACATGCGCACCAATACTCCACATGTTCCGTCTCCAAGGCGGCTTCTTCAGGATATGCACTGAAAGCCCGAGCACGCCCGCAGCCGGCCACCGGCCCCCCATTACTCCACAGCCTGAGTTTCCAATGCAACGCTCAGTATTCCCATTACTTCACAGCCTGAGTTTCCATTGCAACGCTCAGTACTCCAATCCCGCAAACAACTACTCGCACTTTGGAACCGCGGCTGATGTTCATATCACATCTCAAACTCAGAGCAGCTCCAAGAACGTCAGTCACGCCAAATGATTCCTCATCCTCGACAGCATTGGTCGGGGGTATCAAAAAGGCATGGGATCCGTGTCCTACCTGAGCTATGGCCCAAACATTCTTTGCACTCGGCAACCGCTCTCCCGTCCCCAACACACACCCCATTAGTCCACATGCTCCGTCTTCAAGACGGCTTCCTCTGGAGTCGTATAACCAACCCGACACGCTCGCCGCCCGCCCCGCCCGCCGCTGCATCACAACGAACAGTGCACCACAGCATCCGTCTCCAACACATCGCCCAAAACTCCACAACCTCCACCTCCAACACACAAACACACGCACACACATACACATATACACACACACGCACGCACGCAGACACAGACACAGACACAGACACAGACACAGACACAGACACAACACACAGACACAGAGACACAGAGACACAGAGACACAGAGACACAGAGACACAGAGACACGCACACACAGAGACACAGAGACACAGAGACACAGAGACACAGAGACACAGAGACACAGAGACACAGAGACACAGAGACACACAGACACACAGACACAAACACACACACACACAAACACAAACACACACACACACACTTTTTGCGTCGGCGGCTGGGCAGAGGGTGACTGCTCCGGCGAACGGGCATCCGGGGGGCGCACTAGAAGCAAATTGGGCCGCGGTGCGCGTGGGAAGAGGAGGAGACCCGGGCGCGATGGGAACAGGGGATGCCGGGCCCACTCAGGCAAGACCAGCTGCGGCGGGGGGAGCGCCGAGGGGCGGGGGGGCGCCAATACCCCACACACAGCATCCGTCTCCAACGAAACACCCGAAACTCCACAACTTCCGTCTCCAACACACAGACACACACTCGTACTTCACTGCCCGCGTCTCCAAGGCAGCTCTCCCAGCAGCTGAATGAAAAACCCGAGCCTGCCCGCCGCCCGCCGCCCGCCGCCCGCCCCGCAAATCCAGTGCTCGACGTCCTCCGTTTCAGACACAGCATCCAGCACTCCACAGCTTGGCGGTGCGCACAAAGGGGTGGAGGGAGGGGGGAGGGCTTCTTAGAAGGAGGCTGCTCCTTAGAAGGCGCCGGCCTGACATCTGTAGAGAAGGCCCGCGCCTTCTAAGAAGCAGGGATGCCTTTAAGAAGCCCTCCCCCCTCCCCCCCACCCCCCTTTGCGCGTGGCTGAACAGCCTCCGCCTCCAACGCAACACCCAATACTCCACAGTCTCCGCCGCCGACACAGACAAGCACACCAATACTCCACAGCCTCTGTCCCCAAGGCGGTCTCCTTAGAAATTCACAAAGAATCCGCCAGACCGGCCCGCCGCGACCGCCCGCCGCCTCTCCTCTCCGCTCCTCCTCCTCCTCCTCCTCCTCCTCCTCCTCCTCTACGCACTTGCCTCCCCCTTGCCTTCGCGCCCTGGCGCGGGCGAACGGGCTTCTGTGGCGAGGGGGCTTCTGGGCAATGGCGTCTCTGCGCGAGCGGCTTTCAAGGCGAACGGGTTCCTGGGCGAGCGGTCTCTGGGCGGGCGTGCCTGCATCGGCCGCACGAAGAAGGCCAAAACACACACGCACAGACACACAGACACACGCACACACAGACACACACACACACGCTCTTAGCGCACGCGGCCGAGGCGAAGAGCCACATGGATGATCCGAGGTCATCGAGACGGAACGGCTGGCCCACCTGTCAGCATAATAATCAACACACATAAACACTCACAGAAGCACAGAAACACACAAACACACACACAACAAAACGGCAAAAACTTCTGGGAGGCAATTTGTCGGGCACCCATCCTCCTCCCCCCCCTCCAGCGCGGGATCCGCGCGGCAGCGCAACGGGATAAACGAACGAACGATCACCGGTGCGGACAGACTGTGCCTGGGCCTGTCTGAGATCAGGCGGGAGAGGCTGCAGCCTCCAGATTATGTGGTCTGTGTTAAGCCACGCGTGCGGGGTATATACATATATAGACATATATCTATACATATGTATTTACATAGACACACACACACGCGCGCGGGGTACACACATGGTACACACACCTACATATGTGTGCATCTGTATACATATGTATATCTTTATATATATATATATGTATATATGTATGCAGGCGGCGCGCCCACAGGGTAAGGTGGAGGGGGCGTACAGTCATCGGCCTGACCTAAGGAACGATACATAAGGAACGAATCCCTTTTTTTGTCAAGGAAGAAACGCACACTGAACGACAACACAAGCATACCGCATAAGGAGCGATAGATAACGCATGCAAACCTAAGGAACGACCGAGCCCTTTTGAACAGTACGTGTTCCATATTCAAGCCGCTCACTGTACATTCTCAGAAGGCTCCGACGGCCTCTGGCCTTCTCAGAAGTTGTTCAGTCCTACTCCCAAGTCGCAGAGGGAGAAGGCTTGCCCCCCGTTACCCCCCACCTCAGCTCGCCGCCGAATGTTAAGAACGAGGTCCGACGAAGGAGAAGGAGGGAGGAGGCTACGTAGAGGCATCAGCGACGGCATACCAGAATTTCTCGGAGGTCCGCGCGGATTTCTCCCTGGCGCGCGGAGCGCGCCAGCCAGAAGCTCCGCCAGGGGGGCCCAACGCCGATCCGAAATCCGCGCGGACCTCAATGTTTATGTAACGTTTCGTTGTTCTCCGAGAGAAGGCTGGACACTTTCTTGTAGCCCAGGCTGCATCGGCTGCCTGGTGCGCGCGCCGCAGCGTCTCGTCGCAGTGCCTCCGCACGCGGTCGACGAGGCAGTGGCGGAGCACCTCTGCACGGACCGCGATCCCATGCAGAGGCGGACAAGCACGCCCTCCTCGTCCTGCTTGCCTGAAGTCCCTTCCTCCTCCGCCTCCTCCCTACAACCTCCTCCTCCTCCTCCTCCTCCTCCTCCTCCTCCTCCTACCTCTACCTCTTCCTGCATCCTCTATTCCTCACCCTGCACCTCCACCTCCTCCTCCTCCTCCTCCTCCTCCTCCTCCTCTTCGTGCTGCTCCTGCTCCTGCTCCTTCGCCTCCTGCTCCTCCTGCTCCTGGTCCTGTTCCTATTCCTCCACCTCCTTCTCCCTCACCCTCACCCCTCCTCCTCCTCCTTCTCCTGCTGCTCCCTGCAGAGACCCCCGCCCAATAGGGGGTAACTAGAAGCAGGCACCCGTTCCGCCTGCGCCCACTTATCCCTTCTGTGCTCTTGTCATTCCTCCCCTGGCCAGGCTCGCAAAGAGAGAAGACTCTTGCCCGCCCGCCGCTTGGGGTTTTCTGTGCATGCCTCTCTGTCTATGCTTTCTCTCTACAGTCGGACAGTCGGACATAGGCTAGGCTTAGGATGAGTGGGTACAGAGGCGCTGAGAAGCAGGCACCCGCACCGCCTGCGCCCACTCATCCTTTATGTGCTCCTTTTGCCCCCCCCCCCCAGCCCAGGCTCGCGAAGAGAGGAAGGGCTCTCCGCCGCCTTGCTGGTCTGTTGTATAATGTGCTGCCTGGCAGGTTGAGGCTGGAAGCCCAGGAGCCAGGACGCGGGCTTCAAATTGTCTCACCAGTCTTGCCAGCATCGCGTGTTTCGGGCCCTCGATTTTTCGTTGTCCCTGTTTGCTCGGGTCGGTCCCTCGCTCGGCTCTGTTCGGGTCCTGGTCCGTCCCTCGCTTCTTTCGGCCCTTCTTCGGGCCCCTCGCTCGTCGTTTCGGCGCCACGGGCAGGAGTGTTCGGCAGACGATCACCCGCGCGCAAATCAAAAAAAAATAGGGGGTAACTAACTAGTTGTTCGGCGGCCTTTTTGAAGGAGTGGGGTGCCACCAATAAGGGGTAACTATTTTTTTCTGCGGCACCCGCCGCGCAACAACAACGACGACGACGACATCTACGACGACGACAGCTACTCGTCACAAACTGTAACGATCCCTGCTCCTGGGGGGGCACCCCCGAGGCTGCCGACCCGATCTTGTGTGTGGATGTCGCACCGTGGGGTGGCTTTTTGTGGGCCTGCGGGCCCGAAACTGCGAGGCAGGGCTTTGTCCAAAACCACCACCGCCTTTGGATCGACCCCCCAAGGCCCGACTACACACAAATTCCTGAGGACGATTTGGGTGCGCAATGGACTATCTTCGAATCTTTGTTGACTATTTCTGATTTTTCTCCCAAAATCCACCTGTAGGAGGACATGCCCGATTTACATCTAGACCCCAGGAAGAAATCCCAACTCTCACGCCCCCGCCCCCCCCCCCTGGGCGGCGGAGGAGGGGAAGCATCAGATCTGATGGGAAAAGGACGGCAAAGAACAGAGCGGGGAAACGGAAGGACGGCAGAGGAGGGGGCAAATGAAGCAGAAAATAAGCGGCACCACCCCGCCTACGGCCCCACGGGGCCTAGCGTATACCATGCCATCTGCCGAAGGCTTCTGCGTGGTATACGCTACGGCCCCCGATGGGCCGTAGCGCAACATGGAAGGCCGCAGGTGGAGTGATGTCGTGTTCTTTTTTTGGTCGAGCAAACGAGCTCGTGCTCTATGCGAACCTCCGAGCCCCTCGCTGGCGGCCTGCCGGAGACGTCTGAGGACCCCCCTCGGCGAGCGCCGTGCCGCAGAGCAGCACGGGGCTCCGCCCGGACCGCCGGCGGCCCGATTTTTGTTTGTCGACCCGACGTGTTCGGATCGCCGCTCCCAAGAGCTCTGGGCCGCTGCCAGGGGGGGAGGCGGTGGCGTTTCGTCCTGAGCTGCTTTGGGACAACAGCTGGGACCCAGAGGCCTCCCCTTGGAAGGCGAACGCCTCCTCGATCCTCGAGCCTGCAGCCCAAATCCTCCTCGATCCTCGATCCTCGATCGAGGCTCCAGGGTCGGGGACCGGGTAACTCGTGGCACACCTCGGGCGCTATATTTTGCCTGCCGAACCGCGAGAGGTCCAGGACGCGCCCCTGCTGGCCAGACCCACTCGGGCAGTGCTTCCGGGGGGGCACTAAAAGGGGGGGGGGGGGGGGGGGGGGGGGGGGGGGGGGGGGGGGAAGAGAGGTGCGCCGCTCGTGCACCTGACCAAGGCGCCTTTCCTGCGGCCTTCGCCGCCCCCCCCCCACCCACCCCACCCCACCCCAACCCAAGTACCGACCCCCGCTGCGAAACGCCAAAGCCACCCACGGACGAGCAGCGACTTCCAGCTCGCCTCGACGACGCGCCAGCACCGCGCGGGCCCCGGATCAGGGCACGCTCGGACAGAGGGCTGCTCCACTTTGCTCCCTGGGGCCCTCCCGGGGTCCAAACGAACCAGTCTTCTGAGCTGCGGCCAGCCGTGGAGACGAGGGGCCCCACCCCAAGGCCAGCTACCGTTGCCTCAATCCGCCCTCTTCTGAGAGACAGCCTTCGCCAGCGGCGGCAGGGAGGAGGAGAAGAAGGCGGAGGAGGAGGGAGAAGGAGGAGGGAGGAGGAGGGGGCGGTGGAGGAGGGAGGAGGAGGAGTAGGGAGGTGGAGGAGGGAGGGGGAGGAGGAGGGAGGGGGAGGGAGGTGGAAGGAAGGAGGGGAAGTGGGAGGAGGAGGAGGAGAGGAGGAGGAGAAGGAGGAGGTAGAGGAGGAGGAGAGGAGGAGGGGCGAGGAGGGGCGAGGAGGGCGCGCGGTGCGCCCCTCGCCCGCCTGGCGCGCGCGGCGGAGCGCGGGGCGAGGCTGCGCCCCCGAGTCGGAGCAGCCGAGGCGGCGGCGGCGGCGTTCTCCTCGCCGCCGCCCGGGCGTCCCCAGACGGGATCGCCTAGTGGCAAAAACCCTCCTCCTCCTCCTCCTCCTCCTCCTCCTCCTCCTCCTTCTCCTCATCTCCTCCTCGTCCTGCTCCTCGTCCTGCTCCCTCCTCCTCCTCCTCCTCCTCCTCCTCCTCCTCCGCGTCTCTTCGAAGCGAGGACCCAGCACCACAGGATGGTGGGGGAACAGAGCTCACGCCCGAGCGACGTCCAGAGGAGAGGCCGCCGAGGCCGCGCGCGCGGGCCCCCCCCCCCGCCACCGAGCCGGACGGCCAGTGCGGTGAGGAGAGGCCCCTCGGGGCCATGGCTGCCCCACCGCGAGCGCCGCCACCCGAGGGGCCTACAGTCAAAACGTGTATTGAGAACGGGTGGTAAGGACGCAAGACCCTTGGAGGCCGAAGTTGGGTTTTTTAGGGCGGCGGGCGACCAGTGATAATGGCAAGGACGGGCCTCAGAGGCAAGGACACAAGGGTACCCTAGATGAAGGCGCGCGTGCTTACTAGGCGCGTTGAATGTATCCCAGGCATGAACGCCTCCTGAAGATTGACTTTGGCCACTGTCTGCCTCGGGGGGCCCTCCCCAGGCCTCGGGGCCGTCAGCAAAGACCACTCCGGACGAACCACCGGTCCCGGGGAAAGTTGAGGGACTTCGACGGGCCCCGTGCCGAAAAGATCAGGACGTCGCATGTCTGGGTCCTCGCCGTCGCTCGGACGTCCACTCCCCGTGTAGTTTTCGGTTCCGCGCGGGACTCTTCCTTGCAAGACGATCCAGGATGCGCCTGGAGATGGTCTTCGCCGAGGAGAGAGCTGGGCACGTCCCAGGGAGGAGTCGGGAATTCCACGGACCCCGCACCGAAAAAATAAAACATCTGGGCGTCGCATGTCCGGGTACGTGGGCCAGCGCAGGCGGGGTCGGCGGGCCATCGCGCCATGGGGGGGAGTTAGCGCCCGCTTGCGCTGCCGTGCCTCGCGACCTCCGGCCGCCCACCCCCGGCCAGCGCCCGGGGTGGACGCCGTGCAGGCCGGGCATGTGCCATTGCACCGGCCTTGCAGACGTGCTGCAGCGGATTTCTGCGTGGGTTTCTGCTCGAAACGGCGAGCGAAAAACGACGTGAACTCCGCGTGGAGGCTTTGGGGTCTTCCTCCCTGGCCCACAGAACAAGCCGTATACGACATTCGCCTCGAACTCCGGCACGAACCCCTCCAGGACCCTCCGGGCCCACCCCGTCGTTTTCCGAGCGAGATCCGCCCTGCGATGTTGGGCGCGATGGCACGTGTGGCTGGCGCCGGCCCCTGGCCATCGCTCGGACGTCCATTTCCTGTGTTTTGCTCGGCTCCGTGCGTGGCTTTTTCGCCAGATGATCAAGGATGCTCCTCGATGGCCCTCGCCGAAGGAAAAATGCACACGCCCGAGCGATGCCAAGCTGGCGCCCCCGAGGGGAGACGCTGGCGGGGGCGGCGGCGGCGGCGGCGCCTTCTCCTCCGAGCAGTCCTCGATGATGACCTCCTGCAGCTCCCGGCGCCCTCGGGGGGGAGAGTCTCTCGAGAAGGCAGCTCCCCGGAGGCTCGCGCGTCGGGAACGATCCGAGGGTGACTGAGCTCGATGAAGGTACGGCTTCAGAAGACTAGGCTGGCTCACGGCCCCGGTAGACCCGGACACGCTAGGCCCGGACACCCAATATCCCTCGAAGCCAATTTTTCCAAACGGCGGCACGAACAAAATACTGCACTGCAGCAATTCCAAAATAAACCTGGACACAGGCCCCAAAAGCCTGCAAGACCCCCTCAACCCGGACACACACCCGAATCCTGCAGTGCAACAAACAAAAAATACACGGGTGCAGAAAAACGTGACTTTGCAGGAAAAGATGTCGTCTCTTTGGTTTTCCGTGTCCTGGTTTATCTGTGTCCTGGTCTCTGGGGGCCTGACTGGAGGACGCCCGGGATTGAGCCGGATTGAGTGGGATTCAATCGAAGCAAGCCGGACTGGCCCAGGTGAAGTCGATTATCGGCCGCGAAAAAATACAGCACCAGTACAGAGCATCCTCCCAGGAGATGCATCTTAGAGATCGAGAACCCCCTCCTCCTCCTCCTCCTCCTACAGCCAAGATTCGAATAAGTATCGACAAGAAAACTGATTTACCCCATTACCCCACACGTGCGTGTGCTCCTCTTGTCTACCATATATGTGTAGGATGTTCCGTAGTTCTGCGGAAAGTCCCCATGTTTTTTTGCAGATTAAGCGGAACTAGCCACTTCAGGGGTGAACGAATTCTGTAGTGGAGCCCGTGCTCGGAAGACGCTGAATAAGGAACACTTTGGGTTTGTCGCGGTTCCATGTTCTTGAGGTCCTTCCGTGGCTGTTTCTCTGGCCCTCATCGTGCACGCGTGCGCTCTGGGCGCCGAGAACGTGTTGCGCTCCTTGTTGATCGTTCCTTCTTTCAGCAGCCCGACTCTGCCTCCTCCCCCTCCTCGTCCCTCCTGCCTCCTGCCTCCTGCGCCCACGTGCCTCCTCCTCCTCCTCCTCCTCCTCCTCCTCCTCCGCCCTCCTCCACCACCCTCCTCCCGATGACCTGCTCCTACCTCCTCCTACCTCCTACCTCCTCCTCCTCCTCCTCCTCCTCCTCCTCCTGCCTCGTCCTTTTCCCCGCACCTCCTCGCTCCTCCCTCCTGCCTCCTCCTCCTCGCTCCCCCCTCCTCCCCCTTTTCGTCCAGGAGGGCTGGGGCGCGACAGAGGGGCCTCCTCCCGCCTCCCCCTGTCCTCCGCCCTCCCCTTCGCCCCCCCTTTCACCAGGGCCCGCTCCACGACGGGAGGCCCGACCTGAGCCAGCGCTGCGCTGCCCGCGCTCGAGGCTGCCCATTTGCGAGACCTGCGTTGCATCACAGCAGCAATTCGGCCCCTGACTTTCGCCCTGGGTTCGGTTTCGTGAAGCGATGGATCGCGGGGTCCGTACGTGGGAACAAAAAACACATCGCTTCACCAATCCGAGGCCCCTGGGGCCTCAGCGCGCCCTGGGGCCCAACATTCGTGACGTGATGGTCTTCGGGCCCTCGGGCCATTGCGCCTGGGCTCTGGCCGCGCGCCGGGGGCCGCGACGCCCTCACAGCTTCTCGCGAAGGGCGAACAGGCTGCCCCCGCTGCGAGCCTGCTGGGCCCTTCGCGCGGGCCGCTGCCTCCGCGGGGGCCGCTGCCTCGATGACCGTGGGCGTGTCAGCCACCCCTCCGTCCATGTTTGTGGATGCCACGATAATGAACACCCTGACAGGCCTATCATTGAATCCAAACAGTGTTTTAGATGCCGGAAACATATTCTAAAACATGTTTTGCACATGCTCTTGTACATGTTTAGAACATGTTCTAAACATGTGTTACACAGGTTGTTTTAATGTTAAAAAACATGTTTAACACATGTTTTAGACATCTGGTTGTGGATGCCACGATAATGGACACCCTGACACTTTTGGGCCTGACAATGCCGATTTTTTTACCGGTTCCGTTTTGCCGTTGTTTTGCCGGTTCCGACGCCGTTTTTTTACAGGTTCCGTCGCCGATGTTTGACCGGTTCCGGCTCCGGTTCCAATCCTGGAGCCGTTGTTGTTGCCGTTTCCGGGGCCCACAAAGCCCTAACAGTCCTATCATTCAGTCTAAACAATGTTTACAATGTCGGAAACAGATTCTGAACATGTTTCAAACATGTTGTCTTACATGTTTAAAACATGTTTCACACATGTTTTAGACATCTGGAAATGATTTGGCAGCACGCTTCCTATCCATTGATCGACTTCCACAAGTCTATGGAGGCCTCCCACACTGTGTCCGAGCAGTACGTGGGTGGGGTCGGAGGATGACGGCGAGTCGTCGCTGCAGCGGTGGTGCGCGGGCAGCGTCGGCAATGCATCGGCGACGTCGGCGTGGAGAAAAATCGGGCACCACATCGAGCCGCATTGCCGATGCGGAGCGATCCTTCGGACCCATCTACTCCGAACCCCTTTGGGAGGCCTCGAACTACTCATTGGAGGCGTTTGTATATATGGGGCACTTGTGGAGCGTCCTCGGAAACTGGGAGCCGCAAAACGGCTTAGAAGGGATTGCAGACTGAAACTTACATCCAAGATAGCAGGCTTTTCCCGTGACAGGCTCTATGAAAGGCAACCGCCCCCAATATCCCTCGACATGCCAACTGGCATGTTGAGGCGTGAGGGAATGCGAAGAGCTGCCCGGTAGGGCTCCTGAGTCCAAAGCCGCCAGGAGGGCCCAAGAGTCCAAGATGCGCCAACGAGATTCCAGGATGCCTCCAAGACGTCAGAGAGGAGGCTCAACGGTCAACTGAGAACGCCAACACCTCTGAACAAACTCAATCACATCCGTAGTCTGTTGCGCGTGCTGCGTCTCCTGTCCTCCAGACTCAAGGGGGTTCCAAGAGGGCATCGCAGGAGCCACAGAGAGGCCCAAATGGCATGTCCCCTACAGGCGGATTTTGGAGGACACATGTCGTAAACATGTCAAGCAACATTCAAGCATGGTCAACGAATACTCGATAAATCGTCCCCAAACTATTTTCACAATCTTGGAATATTCCTCCTGCAGAAGGGGCAGGCCCGACGCCACTGGGGGCCTTCGGAGGCCCCTCGGCCCGCCCCTGACATCCCAACAGGGATTTCAGGGGCGGGCCGAGGCAGCCCGTTGCAAAATCAAATGACCCAACAAGGCCCCCCAAGCGGCAACAATGGACCCTCCAAGCGGCCAGGGGGGGCCCGCGACGGCAACGAGGCAGCCGAGGATGGTCCAAGACGGCCAGGAAAGGTCTCAAGGTGACCTCACAAGAGACCCAGGCAGCCCAGATAGCCCCCAAGAGAGGAGGCGCAGGAGGAGGAGGAGGAGGAGGAGGCGGAAGACGAGGAGGAGGAGCAGGAGGAGGAGGAGGAGAAGGAGGAGGAGGAGGAGCGGGGAGGAGAGGCGGCGGGCGGTCGCGGCGGGCAGGAAGGAAGGACGGACGGACGGACGGAACGAAGGAAGAAAGGAAGGAAGGAGGAGGAGGAGGAGGAAAACGAGGAGGAGGAGGAGCAGGAGCAGGAGCAGGAGGAAAAGGAGGAGGAGGAGGAGGAGAAGGAGCAGGAGAAGGAGGAGGAGACGAGCTCCTCAAGGAATGGAAACGAGAGATGACAGAACCTGCGGCCTCCTGGGCGGTGCTCGAACAGTCGCCACGCAAAGCGCTGCGCTGACACTGCGGCGGGACTTGGCGCAGGCAGCGGACTACAACGGCGAAGGTGC